GGATCATTTAACCCATTCATGTTAGCAGAGGATCATTGTAAATGTATTGTTGCAGGCACTCTATATGTACATGTACTATATACTACATATAGAGTGCACTGAACAATAGATTTACAATTATCCTCTGCTAATATGAATGGGTTAAATGATCCGTAGTACATGATATGTAGCCCTGTACCCCCTTTTCCACTTACAGAGCTAGGTTATTTTTCTTTTAAATACATATTAATGTATTTTAATGGTATCTATCTACCAGTAGCTGCCTCATTTCCCACCCTCGGCTTATATTCGGGTCAATACTTTTTCCCAGTTTTTTTGGCTAAAATTAGGTACCTCGGCTTATATTCGGGACGGCTTATACTCGAGTATATACGGTAATTGTTCTAATCATGTTTAGTTTGATCACTGATTACACAATCACTGTGGTTTGTAAATATGAGTGCTCATATCCTAAAATGCAGCTAGTATGAATAACTGTTTTCTTAGTACAAAAAGGTTTTCACCACTGCCAAATGACAATTCTGCAATAATCTTTCAAATGTACGGTAGAGGTGCCATTTCATGTTACAGCTGCTGTGAAAATAGAATGTTCTTGGCAAAGCCTATTAATGATCATAATTTGCTAAGTGCATTAATCATTGTGCATGAATTTTGCAAAGCTGCCTGCATTGCAGGGCCCAAAAATTATTTTTATACAGGAGATTAAATTAAATGACCTGGTCTAGAAATTGCCCTCTTTGTTGCTATATTGTTAGTTGATATACAGGTGTCACAATATCCGGAAATCCGTGCCGGATTTTCACTTTGCCCCCTGTTTCTGGGCTGTCAGCCTATGGTGTCTCACAAGGCTGCAGCCAATCGGCTCTCCTTCTCCCCTATTTAGGACTTCCTCACTTGTTGCTCTTGGTGCGAGCAACAAGTATTTTGCCTTGTTCTGTACCCCTTGTGTCTCTGACTACCCCAGGGATCCTATTCCCTGCGCTTGCTATTGGATCCCTGTGCCTTTTGGCTCCCCTCTACCAGCTGGTATCCCTGTTTGGCGTTATCCCCTGCTTTGCTCCTTGCACCCCTACTATAGCATTTCAGTGGTTAATTTAGTATATTGTTGCAGGCCTTAATTACCTTCACCTGTGCGCCTCTCCAAACTGCCTTTAATCAATAAAACAAGGATTGTACATAGAACAATATCGGACCTCTGAAAAGTACAAGCATGCATATGTACTCAGTACTTGGTTTGGGCCCCTTTTGCAGCAATTACTGCCATTACTTTTGCACGATATTCTAATTATTCGAGTTTCACCTGTATTTGTACTTCCTTAGCGCGAACCTGTCAGCCAATTTGAAAAAATAAACAATGTGATGTTCCTGCCACTACCCTTTTACCAAAAAAAGCCTCTTCGGATGTTGGTTTCACTTTGGAATTAAGAATTCAACTCCACCCCAGCTACCATTCCCTGTACAAGGAGAACACTCTAGTGGCCATTAAGGCTATTCTTATTGAACAGGATGAAGGCAACTGGGTTAGTCCAATAATGAGGCAAGTCAAACTTGTAGTAATGAAGAGAAACCAAAATCAGATGAGTACACAGAGAGAAAGGTTTCTTACTCTTTTGGTTTTAAACATTGAAACTGTTATTGTAAAGTGGTACTTTACATTAATTTTTTTTAAACTTGTTATGAATGTGAATCTAAAACAAATATTCTAATTCAAATTAATCCTCCTACTATCCCAATCAAACCCCTCCCCTATCCAATTAGATTATGGCTGATTGACCTTCTCAGTGCCACTTGTTAGAAACTACTCTGCTGGGCCCATGAATGCCCTCTGCAATTATAATATACTGCCAATCATGTATAGTGCAATACAGTATTACTGTGACCACCAAAAAACCTTGTTGTGATAAGCACATACATTCATTCTTTTCTCTCCAGTGGACCTACATGTGGGGAGTCCTTATACATTTGCTATTTGCCTACCTAGCTAAGGAATGAGGAAGCACTGGCTGCTGTATTCCATATGTGTGGCCCTGACTTTCAATGCTGCACATAAACAGAGAGATTTTACCTCCTCACTTACTTGGAAGCCCTGGTTAGGTATAACTGTGTGAAATTTGCCATGACTGACAGCAAAACCCAATACAAAAGACGTGGTTCTGACTATGTCCTCTGACCATCATTAGAACAATAGTGGGCAAGAGATGTTGTTGGGTATCTGATACATAAACAGGGGGCACAGCTTACACACATACTTCTAAAGTCAAGCTGCAATTTGCCCATGTGCAGCTAAGTAACAGTTCACGTTAATGTCGACCCCATCATCTACATATACCTAACTTTTTTCACTGTCCCCCATTTCTTTGGTTGCCAGGAGCCAGAGGCATTTAGCCCCATCTAAGCTATGCTGTGAAGATTCTCAAAATATTTAGCAGTGTTTTGTTCCAGAAGAACTTATAACAGGGTGTTATATAATTCATAATTAAATTCCAGTTAATTTCAGCAAAACATCCCCATTTTTTACTACACACAAACATCCTAAAAGTCTTCTTTTCAATACGAAATCAATTTGGGGTGTTTCTAGTGTTCTGACACTTCAAGGCCTTTATCGATTTTGGGCAGTGTTCATTTCATCCACTATTCATTTTTGTCATAGCTTTTGTCAACAACACTTTTTCAGTGACTGACTAAAACTAAATAAAAAGTTATGATGGTGAAAACTATAATGAAAATATATTGACATTTTAGTCGACTAACTAAAACAAGACTAAAATGTTAGGTTGAGAAGAGATCCAACCAGAACTAATCTGTTTGGATTTCCAGTTCCGGTTCCATCCAGAATGGACGGCTAATATTTAGTATGTGCAATGGCATTACAGCCAATATAGATTTTCATTTTAATATTCTAGATTTACACTTCAATTTGAAAGAATGTAGAATGTCATATGCAAGTTGTTATAATCAATGCATATCTATTTACTGGTACTTTGTAGAAAGTACTCAATATTATTGTTTCTTTATAAGACTTGGTTTAATCTAATTTTAAGATAAATAAAGACATGTTATATATCACAAAAGTTAAATCTGTGTCTGTATTGCGTGTTCAAACCTTAATACCATAAGTAATAACAGGTTAACAGATGTTTACACCAGCAGTATAAAATGAAATTGAAAATTCTTAAATTACTCTAACTAGATTTTAGTAGACTGAATCTACTGCAGATTTAGTTTACTAAAATCTTATCATAGTTAGTCAACTAAAACTACAGTAGACTAAAACAATTCAGATGACTAAAATATGACTAAAACTAAAT